TTTTGGTGTTTAATTTACTTTTATGATTATTTTTTATTGTTGGGATTTCTAACTTGCTACACCTAATATTTACAAGTGCTAATATATTATGGAATTCTAATTAAAATTTGTAGAATATATATTATTATTATTAATGTCTTCATTCAGTTATGTATTTATATGCTTATAAATGTGATGGTGGACTAATATTGTATTTGATGAATAAACACTAACCTCAGAATTATGAGCCAATAAAATTGACAACATGTCACCTACTATTGCAATAGATGTGTTGTGAACTTTTGGTACAAGATGATGCATTTGTAAAACACATGCATTATTAAGATTGCTGTTCACAATTTCATATAAAAGTAACTTAAGACTTCTATTATGACACTGAATGAATGTTGAAATCTGTTGTTTTATTCATGATTGTTATCTGAGTGTTGACAGTTAGAAATAAATTGATAGTATTGAGCAACAAATATTGAACATATTTTGAGTTTTTTTTTTAAATGCTGGTATGGAACTTTCATTTTACTCTGACTACTACTACTACATTACTATGGTGATAGCATACATTCTATTAACATTAAATTTTTAATATAATGTAATAAACTATAAATTGATAATTTTAGTGGAGTTGTGGCCTACCCAAAAGTTACATACGGATTGTAAATTTATAGTGTTTAAGGAAGAAGATATTAAATTTATGTAATATCAATCAGTTAATATATTAACTACTTATTTTCCATGACTAGCAATTATCTGTTGGATAAAATACACATCAAATTCATAATCAATTACTTATCATGTTAATGAATATTACTGCAAGTGTAATTTCTAACATATTGCATTCATATAGTTGTTCATGCAACAAATGGCAATAAGGCACACCAATAGATTATCAAACATTTCTAACAATTATCATTTATTATCAAATTTAGTAGTAATCATTCATTGTCTACACATACACAAACACATTACTTTGTAGTGTAAAAATAATAATAATAATAATAAAATGCTATTAATAATGTAACATTTTTAAATATTATAGCTAGCTTAAAATTTTATTATGCTACTTGTACTAACAATCTACTAATATGTGTTACGTATATTAATTTATACTAACATTGTACATTTTACATTATATTACATACTATATCTTCAACAACCATTTTATGAAAATTTTATCAATGAATGAAATTGGTTTTTAGAATACATTTGGTTTGCGAGTGTAGACGAGAGGAGTGAAGGTTGGAAATGTGCATATAATATATACGGTACACTAGAATTCATGAAAATTTAGAGACAGATTAACACAATAAAACATTTCACTAATAAATTATATTTCTGTATTAAATATATTAGTACATTTATTCATAAATAACTTGATATTTGTGTCCAACAATACTCTCAAATACATGTTTACAAAATGAATCCAAAATAATAATTTTTATTGATAGAATTGAAAGAGGCACCAGAATTCAAAAAACGACTAGATAACTATGAGGTAAATGAGGGTGATCGTGTTGAGATGGAAACAATTATTAGGGGATATCCACGACCAATGGTTCGATGGTACCACAATGGTGAGGAGATCAAGTCCTCAATTGACATCAATATAACACAAACTGGAAACACAAACAAACTCACAATCCCTGAAGTGTTTGAAGAGGATGCAGGCGAGTATATTTGTAAAGCAGAAAATGCTGCTGGAGTGGCCCAATCCATCGCTGAACTTACAGTTAAACGTAAGTGTGAAATAATTCTACAAACTGCCCCTTGTAATAGGTTTTCTGGTGTAGCTTGGCAGATTACTGACCCATAATTCTGAACCTATAATATATATTCTTTATTTAAAACTGTATATTTTATAATTGTTCTGTATTGTCATGCATAAGACACCTGCAAATTAAACCTATGGTTGAACCTCTTGTCTATGGAAAGGGTTGCTTACGAGAGGTGGTCATTTACGAGAGTACACAACATTTGAGTTCATGTGAATCCCAAATATTAAGGTGTTATATCAGCTCTCTGGTAAAAATTGTCAATACAACAACATAATTTTGTAATCATTGCTTTTGATTGGCTTTTGTATTCTTTATGTCATCATCAGGAATAAAATTTTCCTGATGATGACATAATTAATGTCGAAATATTGAATCCCAACACGATGGCGTGTATTTCAATACTTGGAGTATGTATTATACTTTCTTATCTGAGATTAATCAGTGGACCTTTCGGTTTTTGTATTCTCCTCCATGTAAATAGTGTTTGTTGAAAAAGTATTTTTTAACTTTTCTTGATCGGAATTATCCCTTAGGCAAGACTTTTTTTATTCCTTGTTTCGCCTACTTATTTTTTTAAAGATCATCGGAGGATGGCGGAATAAAAACATAACTAAAATTTTGTTTTCTTATTTAGCAAATAGTTTTGCCAGAAACATCAAAACGGAGGAGAAAATAAAAATTAAAATTAATGTAAAATCGGGTGGTTAAATGCTTTAAATTTATATAATTAGGAAGAAATATACATATATTATCTTTTCAAGGCAGCGGAGGGTGTAGTAAAAATAAAGAAAAACTTTTATTTTTTTCTGAAATTTCCACTTTTTTGTGGCGGCAGGTGCACAAATTGGCCAAAAATGAAATTTTATTTTTATTTGAAATTATTAATATTTGCAGTCGGCGGGTTCGCTAAACAAGGTATAAAAAAAGTCTTGAATTACCAGAGGTAAAGTACCACAGTTAAATCCAATTTTTAAGCCCTTAAATGTGGGTGCTTACAGGAGGTATAAAAAACAGTGATATAGGAAACAAAACAGGCTTTTGGTAAGTGGTCACTTAAGAGAAGGGTTAGCCTACAAAAGTCTCACGGGGCACCATGAGTAGCAAAGTAGAATTAAATGTAAGATATCTCATTTTAACATTTTTTTAAATTTACTATTAGGAGTAGTAATTGAGAAACCAACAGTTGCTGTAGACTCCAAGCAAGATGAAGGAGCAGCAACAGATAGGTCAGTTATACAAAAACCGACACCAGGCAAAGTGGATAGAGTACAGCCACCAAAACCTAAAGTTTCACCGCCAGTCTCATCAAATTTAGCATTGTCTGCTACATCTCAAACTGCTCCAGCATCTGATGTATCAGCATCCTCAAAACTAAAGCCTCAAGGCTCACCCAATTTACCACCACCTAAGTGGACTCCCCCAGTTCCACCAAGTGTAAAATCACCTAAAAAGACTCCCCCAGCTCCAACAAATGTTTCACCACCTAAAGTGACACCGTCAGCTCCGCACAACGTAGCATCACCCAAGAAAATACCCTCAGCTCCATCAGCTAAAAACATGCCCCCAACATTTACAAAGGTAAAAACATATATTTCTATATTATGTATTCTTCAAGTATATTATGTAAATAAATTGTTTTGTATTTGTGTGCTTATTTTGTTTAATTCTTGTAGTATTTTAAATCATATTTTTTTATTGTTGTTTGTTTAATTGGCAACTTATGTTGAATCTGTGTTAAAGCCTTATGTCAATGGCATTCAGTGTTTTCTGTTAATTCTATGTAATACCGTTATTGCATGCCTACCTCAGAAGCAATGTGAGTGAGACCAGGCATTATATCCTGTTATTCTACTTTAATTGCAAATAAATCTATCCCACGGTTGGTTGTGATGTACACTAAAGCTGCGTCTGCTCATATACGTTGAATATTTATAATTATACGTATTATGACATAAGGGCTATTTTAATACGTCTGTTATTAGTACATCTTTTTTATGACTTCCTTAGCTTTTACATGATGTCACTTGTGACGAAGGCAGTCAGGCAGAACTGACATGTCACGTTACAGGAAGACCCGAGCCAGAAGTGAAATGGAGACGTGAAGGAGAACGAATAGAACCATCATTAGATTTTGAAATCTTTTACAAGGATGGTGATGCCACTCTCACAATACCTGAAGTATTTGTTGATGATGCTGGCAGATTTACCTGCTCGGCATCAAACACAGAAGGTGAAAGGTCAACATCATGTATTTTAACAGTAAAAGGTGAGATTTTATATAGATATTCAGTTTTCTATATATAAAAAGATTTGATTGTTTCTCTGTAGCTTTGTAAGGTGAGAAGCATAATTAGATTGATGAGAGTGATAGGCATTTATATGTCAACTGACTGATGTAACTTATAACCTGATAATTCTGATGCCATCAGATTTTGTTCCCCATTGAAAAGATACAATGATTCCAATTGCCTCTTTCTGTTTTTTCTATTAACTTGGTGTTTTTTTTATAACTGGTGATATCAGTTGGATGTCATAGGAAATCTTTCATCAAGAAAAAATATACACCAGATAAATTGTTTCCCTAAGATTGACATAGTTTATTGCAAATAGAAACATTAAAGTTAGTTGTGTTGATAAATTTATGTAATACAATTTCATGTTGTAATTTTATATTTCTTTTAATTAATATTGGTTTATCCAGGTAAGTATCTTACAAACTACCAACATCACATCTGATTTGTGTATTTTCATTGATTGAAGCAAAAAATTATAGATATTGTTAAAATGATTATTTCAGCTGCGGACATACCAGAAATGAAGGGTATGAAGATAAAACCAACATATGATGCTATAAGGTCAGTGAAACTATTATACATTGCACTAATTATTTCATATTTTATTTCTCATTTATTCATTTTATTGTTAAATCTTTATAGAATATATTTTGTTGTGTGTGGATTCTTTGGAGAGTCACTTGATAGTTTTTTTTGTTTGTTTTTTTTTTTACACTTTTTTGACAATCATAGGATAGCAGGTTTCCACTTTTTTTGTTTTTAATATATATGTTCATCTGTAAATAAAATTTGAATTTGAATTGGATCTTTTGAATGCAGGGGTGCCAAGTTGGAAAAATGCAATTCCATTAAATGACTCAAGCTAATTTTATTTTGTGGTCAGTGACTTCTTGGAGACAACTTCAAATACAGTAGTAAAAACATGTAAATATTATTAATTTGGAAGATGGGTTTTTTTTTTTTTGGGGAGAATCATGCTTGCTTGTAGGATTGTGGGAGGTTTTCGATTCCCGGGATTCTCCCGCGACTTGCATGAGTATTGTAATGCCCATGTACATACCTCTTTGCAGCCTTGCAAATGGAGTAAGTGATTTAGTAGTTCATAACCAATCATCTCCTATCATGCTGGTGAATGTGTTTATGTCTGTTTTGCACTATATTAGTAAGTGGATGTGTGTATCCTCATGATACACCTTCAGTAAATATTTATTCTTTCTTGCGATCAAACATTCGTACTAGCAGGTAGGACTACAGACAGGATTTGGTTTATTATGTTCATTTTTTTATTAGACAATTTTTATATTCCATTCATCCACAATTAATGTGTGATTTAGTATAAAATTATATAGTCAGTTATTTAAATTATAGGCATTTTCCCTTTGTTTGGACTTCGAGTCTGTAATTCTTATCATTTTTTATTTCTTGTTTTTGTATGTATTTTGGGGTAGAATTAGTTGTATACCGGGCCGCGACGAGAATGCTTATTACTCCACAATGAATGTTGTTGATGTCGTATTTCTTTTAGGCATCCAGACCACCATAATTTACTTGCCCCATGTTTCACCAAACCACTTCAGCCTGTGAAGCTTGTGGAAGGTATGAGGGCTCGATTTGAATGCCAAGTTGAGGGCTACCCAGTTCCAGAAATAGTTTGGCTCATGAAAGGCCTACCAATTGCTCATGGATACAGGTTAGCAACAGTGATATTAACTACTGCATGTATATATAATTGTTATGCTTGATTTCACAATTTATTTTCATAAACAATTACAATACTATAGGCCCAGGGATACTTCCTTCTACTAATCATCACTCTGTTACGAAGCATTAAAATGATTGCAGTGTAACATTAAAAAGAAAGATTTGACAAAAACCGATAAGTTAATTTAATCACAAGTTCTACACCCCTATAGTGACTTATATACAGTAGACTATTATTTTATATTGTATTAGACTCAATTTATAGGTATTCTTGTAATCTTTGCATACTACTATATATGTCATCCTCTCCATGTTTACTCATAATTGAAGAAGAGAAATGTGGTGGAAATTATTTGGAAGGCACTACAGTATTTGTCTGAAAGGCCCTTAAAGGACAATAAACAGAATTATAATATTATTGTTACAGATTCATAATGAAACACAATGAGCAGTCTGGACAGTGTAGCCTAGAGATTACAATGGCCCTTAGAGATGACATTGGTGAATTTACTTGTATTGCAAAAAACCAGGCTGGACAAACAACTACCACTTCACCACTTCTTCCTGAAGGTATGTCTTAATTCACTCATTCCTGCTGCCAGTGATTCTAGGTCCCAGTCAACATCATTTCCAGTCATCTAGGTTGTGGGATCAATTGCCTGAGACTGAAGTGTTGCACATCTTTAGATACATTTATACATACCCTTAAAACATATCTGTTTACCTTAATTAATTGGCTCTGTATTATCCTCTTCTAATGGTCTACATTATCTTCTGGGAGCCGCCGTCTTGGTCACTGTTCTTAAACACTCGGTTGTCAATGACGGGGCAAGTGTTTTTCCTGTTCCTTTGCCCAGGATTGCACAAGAGCTGAGACGGATAGTGAGATTTTTCGCATATTGTTTTGCCATTCAAATTTATCGCTGAAATAGTTTTAAATATTCTGTACTTTTAAGCAGATTTAAGATTCATTTCTGTATGAAAGAAGTGCTGTGTAACTGTGAGGAAAAAAGGCGCCTATGTAATGACTATTATTATGCTGCTTTCCTGCTGCTTTGACAGGTTTCTTGGCCAGTGATTCTAGATACCACTGCCAGTGAATATTTGCTCCTTCCTGCTTATTTGACCATGTCCTTGGCCAGTGGTCCTTGATACCAGTCAATATTGCCTCTTCTGTGCTCTTTTGACAGGATCCATGGCTGGTGATCCTAGATAGGAAAGGCTGATAACCTCAGAGCAGCAATTAATATTGAGAAATAAAAATATGCAAAACAATAAATGTATACTCGTATTTTGATATTTTTGTCGAAGATGGTGCCTATGTACTGGGAAACTATAGTAATTCACAGGAATATTTGGTTCTTTCTGAGTCAAAAAACAATGCAGGATTTATACAAGTTTTTTTTTTCTTATTGGCCAGTATAATCACAAGTAGAAAAAGATTGTTAATCTTGAGAATATCACTGAAAGAGGTGTCAAAAGACAAATTAAATCAACTTTTTTTGTTTCAGTGGCCTACAATCGTTGGTTCAAAGAACAAGAACTTGAACGAGAGAGAAAAGAACGAGAGGAACAGCGATTAGCACATGCCCTTGAGATGGAAAAGCAAAAATATATGGCCACCCAACCACAAACTGATCACACTTTTGTTGCCTCAGAACCAGTAAAGTATACTTTTTTCTGACTATGCAGAATAAATAATATAAATTAAACATAACTTACTTTATTATTTATTTGTTTAATTGTGTATTTGATTGTTTTTTTTAAATTAGTGTGTTTATTTTTATTTATTTTTTGTTTATATTTATTTAGGTAATGTAAAATTAAAGTTGAAACTGGAGCTCTGAGCTCACCTGCAATAGTGTCCTTCTCTTTTATTGACACTAGAGCAGACAGTAATGCTGTGCGAGGTTTGTTACCATTCCCATGTAGTCTGTTTACATTCCCAGCATGATATTTTATTTATGCTCCTGGATGGCGAGGGTGAAGGCTTTGTTTCTCTCGTCTCTAAGCCACCTTCCTTAACAAAACTACTGTCTGAGCTATTCAAGTTTAAAGGACATAACAAACAAAAAGAAAATGGTGATAATAATTTCATATGAATTATGATACCTACTGTACTCTTTTGTTAATGTAATATCTATGTTTGTGTATTTTAAAATTCCTTGAATGCAATCTAATTTTTAGGAGGTACCAGTAAACCCATTTCAGAAACGTCTCATGTCAGAGGTAGCATTCAGGGAACGTAGCTCGAGCCAAGACCGTATAATAGTACATGATAAAGACCAGGTAGCAACACGTTTGCTGTGTGCCATGAAATAATACACAAGTGTCACAAACACTTATTCATACATACATGCACATCACCAAGGAAATTGTAGTTTATCTAAAATGTAATACAATAATGATTGATTAGCTAAATGTTATAAGAATGGAATTTTTTTTAACTGAATATATATTTTGATCAATATTCCATTAAATATACACATAAATATGTTTACGTGTATACATATTTACGTACATCATACAGTAAATAAATAAAATAAATAAATACATATCTTACATATCAGAGGAAAGAGCTCCATGCATTTTGCATTTCAAATACTATATCCAAAAATATGAAAAGTTTTAAACAGGAAAAAGAAGCTTCCATTAAATGACAGTATTTTTTACCCTTATGGAATAATTATTATTAATAATATTAATAATGCAACATTTATATAGCACATATTGCAATATATTGCCTCTATGCACTTTACATTATTACACTGAATTATATACATACATTTTTGTACACCATTAATGTCTATTTTTGACTAGGTCAGAAGTGATGTTTAGTTGAGTATAGTAGTAGAGTTCTGCAATGCATATATAGTAGATTTTGTCAGTTTAATACTTCACTATTTCTCTTATTGTCAATCTGCACAATTGATGTTATTAGATTACTACGGCAGCACTTACTTGAATGCTAACAAAAATCTTTTCGTAGGGAGTGAAATTGTCGCCATTTGAAAGGCGCCTAATGACCGAAGTGTCATACAGAGAACGTGTTACAGGCGACCACGATTTAGAGCGTGCTCACATAGCAGTTGATAAGGTATTCAGCAAAAGCAGTGAAAATTACCACTTTGCATGTGATTCGTTAATGTGTCCAAATTGTAGCTTTATGTAGTCTACACTTGTTGGGTTAACAATTCATCCTCATCAGCTTGCCATGTTTTGTCAAAATGTGTAGTCAAGTAGTCACAATTTTTTTTAATTAACAATTTACATTAGCCCACATATATGTTATGTCTATTTATAGTACTGTGACACTAGTTTATATACTAGATATATTAATATTATCATGTTTCCTGTACAAGTTTTAATGATCATCAAAGTCTAACTGTAGTTTGGCTTTTATTGTCACCTAGTTCCTGAGTCTTGAGTTACTCCATGACAGAAAACAAATTCCTATTAATAGATGAAATAAAATGTTACTAGTTTAGTGGACATTCACACGTTGCAATGAAGCAAGCGATGCTTGTTAAATTTTGCCTAGCACATGTAACATTTTGTCTCATATGAATAATGTATAATTTTTTGCCACTTATTAGTTGAATGTATTATCGTTTGAATACCAATTTACTTGCTATTGGAGGAGAATAGCAAAAATTAGTGTATATGGTGAAAAGCTGAAAGATGTAACAAGTAAACCAACATACAGTAATTCCATAAATCCTTTAAATGCTATAAAGAAGTAATATTTGAGGTGCATAATTATGCACAAGTTTTAAAAGGATTTAGGTTTTATATTGCATATGGTGATAGATGAAATATGTGTTGCTTTAAAACAAGAAATGATTTAATTGTTTAGTGATGGTGGATTCTGTTTTCAGGAATACATGGTTTCCCCTTTTGAAGTCCGACTTGCTAAAGAGATATCGTTTCGTGATCATAGCTTGGGTGTGGACACTGCAGATCACCCTGCTGCAGCCCCAGTGGTCTGTACCTTCAAATTGCAATTATTGTGTTGATTTGCTTACAAATTAATCATGAATGGATTTTTGATTGGTTGTGGATACATCAAAAAGACTTGTATAGCTATTAATATACATGTTTTTTAATAATTCAGGGTTTTTTTGGTTGTATTTTGGGTGTTTTCTTATCTTTTAGATGATTATTGTATTGTTACTACAGTTTGAGTTTTGCCATTAAAACACAATGTATTTTAGCTGCTTTGAAGTGCAGTGTGTAAAAATTAAATTATTGATTTTGTATTTCAGCAAGAGTTTGGCATGATTGCTTTTCTACATCAGAGTTTACTAATTTGACACCTCTCCCATTATTATTTTGTAGTACCAGGGCATGTAAATATGTGCATAATTTGGAAAAATAACTAATAGCTTTTATTTTGCAATCTTAATTCCAGTTACCATGGCGATTGAATTGATGCATGTCATGTTTGCGTATTCATACCCTAATGGTCATACCCAGGATAATTTAGGTGTAATAAAAGTATAGCTCTCATTCATGTCATGAAGACAGTGAGCTACTGTTTGCATGTACTATCAGTTTAGCATGCATGAGATGTGTAAATTTTACTTACAGATATTGAAAGTTCTATTATAAAGGCGAGGCACACACTGGACATTCGGCAAGTGAATGCATCTATGCTCCGTGGTAGAGCTTAAAGACTTAACAGCATCTGCTGATTGTTGGTGTCAGTCTAAGAATCATTTAAAAGAATTCTTTGAACGTGTCACGTCACAGTGTGTGCCAGGCTTAAGAGAACCAACTCTTTCTGCCATTTTATTGATTTTTGGTTAAGGATCTTCTCTAGAGATGCCTATTTTTTCCACCTCAAGAATACAAATTATCATGTCTATTTCGTGAATACTTACCTGGATAACCGACTAATTGCCATTGTTCCCAAAACGGAACACCCCTTCGAAAAAATGGAATAGTCCGACCCAAGGCGCCACGTGCGAACCGTCTCCCTAACAAACGTCCTCATTCCCTTTTCGACGTTGTTCGAAGTTGGATACACCCAGCCTTTGAAATTACTAGCAGTCTTTTCAAGCTATTCTGTTCTTATTTTGCCTTGGATTTATTTTCAACTTGACAAGATATCCTTTGTTTATTGTAGTCTCGGTCGGCATGTCCGCTCGCAAGTCTTTGTGCTCGGCGTGTGGGGGCCCTAAACCGAGTGTTAAGCTCGACCGGCACTCGGAGTGCCCGTTGTGTCGCTCGTGTAGCAAGGCTGAGCCTTGCGAGCGGCTCTAAGTTTGCGGCGGCTCTAGATTGGGCAGCTCAGGCTGCCACTCGATCTCAGGGATCGCTGCCGGCTGCGTCGGGGGTTGTTGCGGCGCCGGATGACTCGCCTCCACCGCTGGAGGATTCGTCGGCTTCGCGTTCAGCGGGTCCTTCCCCTCCGCTGGATCCGGCGTTGGTTTCGTTGATTTCGGAGCAGGTGGGCCGGGTGGCTCGGGAGGTTTTCGCTGGAATGCAGGCCGCTTCGGCGGTCCCGGATCCTCCGGTTTCTGCCCCTCCTGTCCCTGGGGATGGGTTCCGGGTGGCCGGCGAGTCGCCTATGGACGACTCGTCCGAGCATCTTGAGCCGGAATCTGAGGACATTGTCCTCGGCTCCGATCTCTCTCAGCTCGTGGCCCGGGCGATGCCGCCCATCCTTGATCATTTGGGGGTCTCTTATGAGACTCCGTGCCGGGGTGGTTTGGGGGCGGGTCTGTGGGGGCCGCCGGCTCCTGCGCGTCCTGCCCACCCTGTCCCAGTTGTGGGACTCCACCCGGACCTCATCCTTCGCCTGAATTCCCAAGCGAAATCCAAGCCGGTTGCCGCGCCGCGGCATCTTACGGCTGCTTTTCCGGTCCCCGAGGACCAGTTCAAGCAGTTCATTCAGGCGCCGCCCATTCCTCGCGCTGCCAAGGGCAGACTGCGGGAGGATCAGAAGCTCTCTTCTACTTCTAAGGCTTTGGCCTTTGTGGACCGCGCGGCTCGGGAGGGCATTCGCGCCGTGAATGGGGAGGGGTTCGCTTTGTCCTTCTTGTCTGACGCTGACGCTAACCCAACTCTCGTCCCGGACGCCATTGGCCTCCTTCGGGCGGGCATTGGCCTTGTTTCGGACCAGTTTAGTTCCATCGCCCAGGCTGCCGGCGCAGCCTGGAGGGCTAATGTGCTCCGGGCGACGACGGTCAGCCCCGGTCATTTTGACCGGTTTTTAGACTTCCATTTTTTTCGAAGGGGTGTTCCGTTTTGGGAACAATGGCAATTAGTCGGTTATCCAGGTAAATATCTCACTCATAGACTACCAACATCACGATTGATTTGTGCAATTTAAGACTACATGCAGTAAGTAGAGCTGTAGATTGTATTGGTGATGCCACATACCAATCCCAGAATGCTAAAGCAAATCAGTAAATTTCCATGATTTTCACTTTAACTGAAAAGAGCTCTCCACTTCCTAAACCTCAAAAGGAGACTTATTAATTTAGAGTATTATATTATGCCATCTAGTAATTGCAATTTAAAGTTGGATAAAATGAAACTTAAATCCTGTAGAATAGACAACAGCAATATATTACTACTACAGTAATTAAGACATATAGTGTCCTTTCAAATTCAACTGTAGGCTTTTGATATTGAAGCATTTGAGGCTGAACTTCTCAACGGATCAAAGTTTGGTATTAAGGATGGTAACATAACAGAGACGGATACAGAGACAGAGTTCACAGAATCAGAATTAGAGACTGACACCGACAGAATTTCTGCTCCGAGATTTGTGAAGGAAATGAAGAACATCCAGCTAATGGAAGGCTCACCAGTAACTCTTAGCTGCAGGGTCAGTGGTCGACCCAGACCAATGGTCAGTAAAAACATTTCAAACTAGCAAGTTTTGTATTTTTTGGTGGTGCTAATGTCTGTTACATCATTTGACACCAGTAACACTGTTTTTGTCTTGTATATTTGTGTAGCAGCAAATTTAGTAGATACATGTAATGTAATATTTTGCATATGTGGTTTACATTTTAATACTAAAGCCCTAGGGTAAAATTCTGAAATACTTTCTGTGTCTAAATGATTGATGTTTTTTTTTTATTTATAGATTATCACAGAGTTTTATCTTATACTGGCAAAATGTATGTGTTACTGTAAGAAAATAGACAGAATGTTTATCTTTTTTGTTGACACATGTTCATTATTGTTTGCTATTGGATTCCTCTGGGCGAACATGTGGCTTTTCTCGGATCTTGTTATATTTTGTGTATACTTTTCCGGAATAAATAAATGAAATGAAATAAAACCAACTCATGATAACTTTGTAAAATAATTTTCATTCATAATTACAGATTCAGTGGTTTAAAGATGGTTATATTGTGAGAAAATCACAGAGGTTGGAGTTACGTCAAACAGAAGGGTTCTGCTCACTAAGAATCAACATGGCTCTTCCCAGCGACTCGGGACACTACACAGTGCTTGCTACCAACACTGCTGGAAAAGCTGTCTGCTCCTCACGGTTGCTTGTCAAAGGGTCAAAGGGTGATGATAGTCCCCAACATATGAAAGGCATTATGGGAGCAAGAGTTAAGATGTAAGTGAATTTACTTCATTACTCAGTGAATCGTAGTCTATAATTTAATTTATATAATTGAATTTTTAATCTCCAAAATCTCATTATTCTTTTTAATTTACAATATACTTTTCAAAAGTTTTAGTATGTTTCTTCATCATTGACAGGCTGTGAAGTGGCTCATGATTTTTCAGGCCTAGGTGCAATTATTTCATGGCATATTAATATAATAATAATAAAGTAACCCCTTTACCTAGAATTGGCTTGTTTGGGGTGAATTCAATAAAAAAAAATTGTATATTTTGAAATGATATATATATTTTTCACGAATCACCAAATCTTTACATAATGTTTTTCTCAGGGAAAGTCAAGAATACAACATGCCAGACAGAGCATTTATAGAGGGTGAAGTAAAGGAGAAGTATTACAGACCAGCATTCAAGGAGATTCCCCAGGATTTGATAGTAGTTGAAGGCAAGGTTGCTAGATTCAACTGTAAAGTGACCGGTCGCCCACCACCAGATTTTGAATGGCTACTCAATGGACAACCAGTACGATTAGACAGAAACCATCAGGTAGGCAGTTTTAAAGAGTTTTAATAATATATTCAACATTTTTTTTTTATATATGTATAAATATATTATAAATACAAACAAATAGGTAAATTATAGAAAAAGTGCTCAGTTTTAGGGAAAAATGATGTTATAAACGTATAAAGCATAGCCCATCAAAGAAAAAGTTCCTTGACATTTGTATGAAAAAGTTTCTCTTACTGGAATTGAATTTGCAACCTCTAGCTGACAAAGCAAGCATCATCACATATCCAGCCCAAATATGGATGGCCCTAAGCTGTCTGACTATAGATAAATCATTTTCAATGACATTTCAATTTGTTTTTAAAACAATGCATTCGCCAAGGGTTGTTTCAGCCATTGAGTCTCAAATTGTAGTTTTACAGTATACATAGTACATAATGCATAACATATAATATAATGTAATATGATATTATGTACCTCATACATAGATTCTAGGCATCTGATTGGTTAAGAAGCGGGGCAATAGAAAGTACTATTCCCCTCAAAAATAGTACTTTTTTTACCTATCGTGATGTGCAAACTCTAGGCCCACTACATCGTGCTGCTGACGGTAAAGGGGAATGCGGCCTCTACGACAAGATTATCCCCCTAACTGCATCGCGAATCAGCGAGTAGATGATAAACAAATATTGAGGCTGCTCGTTTCTAGATGAAGGAGGACTAGCCTAGGCCTAGCATTTCTTCTTGATGAAGCCGATAGCAAAAGCACCAAAAGACAAATTAAATATGTCTTATCAATATTCAACAAATATATTGCAAGAAATTGAGGAAATAAACAAAGAAGAACTAGACACACTCTTTGATCGCCTACTAGGCCTAGCTAGTCAAGTAGTAGTGTAGTAGAGTCTATTTATAAGGTATATAAAACAAATATTGACTGTTCTGTATTCAGGGAACAGTGAAATCTATTGCCCCAAGGTGATGTGGAGACCGTAGCCTATCTTCCTGAGGGCCGGAGGGGCAATATTTCACCATTCCCGTCATGAGCAGTCAATATTTGTATAATATATAATAATAATATAATACATTATTTTATTCAATAATATTTTCATCATATTATTTTCTCCAATTTTTCTTTTACCAATTTTAGGATTGTAACTGATTCAACACCAATTATATATATATATGTATAAATATATTATAAATACAAACAAATAGGTAAATTATAGAAAAAGTGCTCAGTTTTAGGGAAAAATGATGTTATAAACGTATAAAGCATAGCCCATCAAAGAAAAAGTTCCTTGACATTTGTATGAAAAAGTTTCTCTTACTGGAATGATGAAAATATACATAAACACTATCATCAGCTTTTCCAAAAAAAATATTCAAGATATATTTAAATTTATATTCATTACTAAGTATTGACTTTAATTACTTCGATATGATTATAAAAACCTCATCGAATACAGAATTAATTTAATTTTACAAGTAATGTACATTAAGAATGATGAACAATATGGTGCAATCTGAAAATGAAGTGACAGTTTTGTAACATTTTACCTTCCTCATCAGGTAATAATTAATGAAGGTGGCATCAACTCTCTTGTGATTTACTATACCGCTCCTGCTGATGCTGGAGTTTATACCTGCACTGCCAAGAATCGTGCAGGCCAGAACCAATTCAGTGTTAACTTGAATGTTGAAGGTGAGTCTGTCAGGATAACTGTGCATGATATACAAACCACTAGCACGACCTGTTATGTGCAGCATGCTGTGGGGATTGTTTCTTTTAATGTATGCAAGGCACTACATAGTGTCTGCGAAAATTGGTTATCATGGCCAGTGCGTTTCTTTTTGAATGGTAAGATAGGTAGTGCGTATATCTGAACTCAAATTGAGGCGCACACGGAGGTTTTGTATTAAAATTTTTTTTTTTGAATGACTATTGACCACATATGAACCCCTGACATCTTAAGAGGTTTTAAATTATATACAAAAGTTAAAGGGCATTGTTTTGACAGTTACACCTGTATTAATAACTATTATGTATTCTTCAACAGCCAAAGCAAGAATGGTTGCACCATCTTTTATAGATCGTATCCAGAACGTAGCAGTCAAAGTAAATGAACCGGTGACGATGCAATGTAAAGTGACAGGTACACCAGTACCAACCGTTTCTTGGCAAAAAGATGGCCATTTTATCCATCCCACAGATACACACTACATTACAGAAGTTAAAGATGGCGTTTGCACCTTGCATATTGATGCAGTGCAACGATGGGATTCAGCATGGTATAGCTGTACGGTGCTTAACTCAGCAGGTAGAACATCATGCAGAGCTAAGCTGATTGTCCATGTTGATAAACGTCCCTCTTCTGAGCCCAGGCAGTTGATCATTCCAAAGAGATCACCTGCTTTACCGTGAGTATATAAGTGTTTAGAAACCATTTATTATACTAATAATTGTTAATGAATTACATATACAGTACTATATATATATATCTTTGTGTTTATCAACAACAGAAGACAAAAAATATAAAAAGACATGATATAGTTGAGCAATTTAAATACTGTATTAACATTGAGAAAAGTGATGTGAATTTCTATTTTTTAGAGCAGTATGATTGTGATATTTCAATCAATCACTATCTGTAAATTATAAGTAAGATTTCATATGTGATATTAGTGACTACCTGACCATGTTTTTAATGTCGGCAAAAGATCATGATAACCTCATGAATAATTTCTATGAAAATTTAAAAATTATTATTTTTTAGGAGCATGTACAAAAAGTTGGTGCTTTTATCCAGAATGCACATATCCAGCCCAAATATGGCCCTAAGCTGTCTGACTATAGATAAATCATTTTCAATGACATTTCAATTTGTTTTTAAAACAATGCATTCGCCAAGGGTTGTTTCAGCCATTGAGTCTCAAATTGTAGTTTTACAGTATACATAGTACATAATGCATAACATATAATATAATGTAATATGATATTATGTACCTCATACATAGATTCTAGGCATCTGATTGGTTAAGAAGCGGGGC